ATATATATATATATATATATATATATATATATGGGTTTGCTAACTTGCGTACATTCAGTTGGTATTTTTTAACAATGTGTACCGGGTTTAGTAGACAAAAATACTCTCATATATTATGGATTCTAAGTTTTAAGGTAATAATTTTCATTCTTAAAACTAAAAAAAAACAACAAACTCCCAAACCCTTACTCACCCTCATTCCTCTCAACCATTTCTCTTTCACATCTCTCACTCCAACATTTTCTATGTCATCCTATGGTAGCCCCAACTGAAAAAAATCAGAAACACTAGTTGTTAAACAATCTTACAAAAATGATTTTATAATGAATTTTCATTTATAATTTTTGTCTTATCTAATTTTCACAATCATAATGACATATAAAGGAATTGGTAATTGTAATTGACTTGGAAAAAATAAGAAATACTCGTTGTTAAATAATTTCTTACAAAAAATAATTTTATAATGAGTTTTTATTTTATAATTTTTGTCTTATCTAATTTTCACAAGCATAATGACATCAAAGGAATTGGTAATTGGTTTGGAAAAAATCATAAATACTCTTTGTTAAACAATTTCTTACAAAAAATGATTTTATAATGAGTTTTCATTTTATAATTTTTGTCGCATATAATTTTATCTAATTTTTGGCTTCGAGAGTTTTTTTAGAGATAATGATTTAACATATGCAGATGATGAAATTATAGAGGTTAGTGAAGACGGTGAAATTGAAGAGATCTGGAATGAACCTTAACTCTTTACAAAGGCAAATTGTTTAATGACAAGTGTTTCTGATTTTTTTTCAATTGGGACTACAGTAGGAATGACAAAGAAAATGTTGAAATGAGAGAGATGAAAGAGAAAGGGTGGAGAAGAATGATAGAGGTGAGTAAGGGTTTGAGAGGTTTCTTTTTTTTTTTTTAGTTTTGAGAATAAAAATTATTAAAATACCCTTAATCTTAAAACTTATAATACATGATATATAAGAGTATTTTTGTCTACTAAAACCCGGTACACATTATTAAAATATATCACCTGAAAAAACATTAGCAAACCCCATATATATATATATATATATATATATATGTATATACACACAGGTTTGTTAACTTAACTTCTTATTAGTTAACAAAAAAATTTCTATTTATAGAAAAAATCATTCTTTAAATATATGGGTATTTTAATAATTGTTATTTTTAATTTAAAGTAAAAAAATAAAAAATTTATTCAATAACCTTAAAATATAGAAGAGCAATTCTTCCTACAATTTCACTGTTTCTTCTGCACCTCCAAAAATTCTTGTCCATTTTGTTAATAATCACCCAATGTTAGTTAACATTTTAAAAGCTGGTTAAATTTTTTTTTAAATTTCTTTTATTTTATTTGTTTTATTTAATAATAATAATATTATTACAAAATAAAATTTAATATTTTAAATTAAAAAATAATTAAACTAAAAATTTATTTATTTTAATTCAATAATAAATAAATATTTTTTATTTAATAAATGTTTAGGAAAATTAATAATTTTTCATATAATTAAATATATATTAATATTTTAATTTATAAA